AACATAGGGGTGCATATATTTTTTCGAATTAAGTGTTTTGGATTTCTTTGGATAAATACCAGGAGCGGAATTGCTGGGTCATCTAACTGAACTTCTTAATTGAATGAAAAACTTTTAGCTTAGGAAAGTGGTCATATTTTTAAAAATTACTCTGTAACATAAAAAATATATAAAACTCAACAGGCAAAAATGGAAATAAACCAAACTAAAGAAACATCTTTAAAATCTGCATAACTCACAGTGAAACTTGGGTGTCTTTAATAAAATAGGATGCCTAAAGCCAGGCCTCAAGCTTCAATCCTCTAACATTTCCTCACTCTCTGGAGTTTCTGGATACACTTTTCACTTTTCTCTTCACATATAGGAACAGAACCAAGCTCCCTGAAAATGGCCTGGGAATTCCCCCTGAGTTTTAAAAATAAATTAAGCCTAGTGTATGTATACCAGTTTCATGGTCAAAGGTATTTACGACTCTTCATACATGTACCAAGTGGGTAACCTATATAAGCACTTTTATAACTAAAGTACTGGTTAACTATGAAGTGACTTATAAATGGTAACACTGTCACTGCTTCATTACTTCCAGATTGTGTGATCTCTCTGAGAAAGCTAAATTATTCCAATGAAACAGCGGGACAGTAGAAAGCTGATTATAAAAATGATCTAATTCTAGTATAATAGGATAGAAATTTTCTTCACAAGTACTCACTGTAAGCATTCAAGAATAAAGTACACAAAAACCTCCTTGTTAGGAGAGAGACACTAATTCTGACTGGGTACAGCTTTTCAAAGTAAACTAAAATTTCTATAATATACCTTGTAAAATTAAACCTGACAAAGGTCATTATTTCAATCCCAAAGAATAATGTTTTTCACTTGGACTTAATCAGAAATGAGATGACACTCATTACACAAAGCAATGTTAACAAAATTTTTTACAATACTATATATAATGCAATGTTGTAATAGCTTACATCTTTTTATCCCAAGATCACCACCCAAAAAATTATAAAGTTGCCCATAAATTATTCCCCTGTAAAAGCTACAGGCATCCTGAGTATTACAACTGCAGCTCATTCCACATAAGGCCTGATACAATACCAGAGACCTAAATGGAAAAACACTTACTCCAGTTGCCAGTTCCTCACACTGCTGCTTCTTGGATGCTAAATCCTGAGCAGCCATCTCCAAGTCATACTGCATTAGTTCATGTTTCCTGCACACAGCCCTAGGGATGAAAAAACAGTGCTGCCACTTAATTTTTGTGGCTTTTCTTTTAACAAGTTAAATTTTTTTTTCCACAGGTAAAGGGAAGGCATCACAATGTCTTGCTAGGGTCAGAACTTGTGTACCCAGAATTTTCAAGTTTACATGTAGGAGCCCAACATTGAAAATTAAATCTAGCAGAACCTAAGCATAAAAACTTGACATATATGTACAACAAAAAAGGTTGTTCTTTAGATACTTGCACATTTTTTCAATAAACATACCATTATCGCATCATAAAAAAAGTATTTTGTATAACATAGGAACTAATGCAATATATATTCTCATATAGAAGCTGAGTATTAATTTTAAAAGCTATCTCAAAAGTTTTCTTCTTTATTTAGAAATGTCTATTAGTTTTTATTATCATGAAAGTAATCCATGCTCAGTGTAAAAAAAAAAAAAAAGATTCTGATACAGGAATGCACAAAGAAAAAAAGTTTCAAGATTGCTCTTTTCCCCAACCCCACTATCCAGACACAATCCATGTTAATAGATGGTGTATATCTTTCTGGAATTTAGGTAGGCATTTATAAACATATACACATATCTACAAGTGCTGCATCTGGAACACTTATTATACTAACCGTAGTGCTTCTGCATAAAAAAGATACTCCTTTAACTGATCTGCATAATGTTCTTCATCTTCCAAAATATCATCAATAGAAGATGCATACCTGTTTAAAAAAAAACACTGCAGAAGTAACTTTTATCAGGACATAAAATACTAATGTTCTAAAGATGAGCTGTCCAAAGTATGGTCCACAGACCACTTACTACTCATCAGTGACAAAAGTAAGTACAGAAATTAAGTATTTAAAACCATTTATAGCAATTGTTATTTACTATGACCATTTTATTGAATTTTACCAAAATGTTTCCATTAGGAATGGCTTGGAAATAAAAAATAAAACAAAAAAGGTCCTTTTTACAGCTTAAAAAGCACTATGAGACTGTGATATTTTTTGTTCAAAGACATTATAAAGGACTACAAAATCAGTAGAAGGAATAAATGTTTAATATAATTGATGCACAAGTGTTCCTGATAGCAACTACATATAGTAATGTCAAAAAGCTACCAAAGGGGCCGGCCGAGTGGCGCGATGGTTAAGAACTGGCTTGGGANAAAATCCAACATTTTGGCATAAGGCAAATTAACACAATTAAACGTTTCAAAACATAATATGGTATGTATTATTTTCTCACAGGTACTAATACGTATAAATCACTTTGTTAAAATAACAGATCATATGAAAATCAGCACAATACACTTCATTTATTTATTGTGTAAGTTTGGCAAACAGCACAAAAATCCAGCAACATTTTAAACATGTAAAAAAGTCAAATGCTGAACAGTACTAGGAATTTTTTTCTTTTACATAATTAGTAATAATGAGCACACATAAGATTCTGCAAAGCTAGCAAAATGAGGGTTGCTTGGCTTCTGAACATATACCACAAAAACACACACCAAAAAACAATATAACTTATCTTTACAAAAATTACAGCCAAGCAATAGAAAAGAAGGATGTTAATAATGAAGATACTAACACATATGTTCACTACATATATCTTATACATTGAAATGCTACATCTTGTACCCTGAAATGCCATGTGTAGAGAGCCAAGCAGAGTAAATTTAGGCTCAACACTGAGGTTAAGAATTATTTGGGAAGAATTTAATGCTTATATGTAACATACTCAAAACTTTTGATACAGCAATTCCTAGATCATAACAATGTACTCCATTATGTATCTGAGAAGTTGAATCTTCTTCGTTGGCAGTATAAAATTTCTGAGCAGTATCAAAATTCTGGTAAAACACAAATTGAAGGCATTTTCTAGTGTATGCAAACGTTACAGGGGGCATCAATGAAAGTGGGAGAAAATCTTAGATTTCACACTGAGTTTCTGCTGAGCTTGTCACACCAAACAGCTCAACAATAAGGCAAGAAAAACTAACCCCCTATAACAGATTAGTGGGTCTTACCAAGTAAAGATAGGAATTCAATCACAGGAAAAAACTCCCTACATAAACAGATTTGAAATAGCTGGCATTGAGATGAACATCTAGAAATTACCTAACATCTTGACATTCAATCATTGGTTCAGAAGCCTGACAAACAATCTGTTGGTATATTTTATCAAATTAACTTTTTGGAATCAGCACCAGTCCCCAAAACCTCAAATTATAGCATTTAATCTTCATTAAAATACATCCGTTTGTGCTATATTAACACAACTACAATCAAATTAAAGAGAGCTGAATTTACTCAACTTACATATTTTTGTGTATACTGGATAGCAACTTAAATTTTTTTTTTT